ATGGGTCTTTTTACGGGTACACACTTACATATACACAGGTTCACGAGTCCATTCGAGAAACTTCCTTTCTCTTACTCTCTTTCTCTTTTTTTCTTTTTTTTATTTAGGACGACGCTCTTAAGGCAAATTAAATACGGCTCAACAAATTACCGAAGCTCCTCGTAAATCAAACCGGGACCAATAAAACGTCCCCTTCGTCTCGGTACGAAAAATTTCGTACGGTGGAGAACGAGGTGACGACGAGTGATAAAAGAAAAGAATAATATGTATGAGAAAAGATAGAATGAGAAGAAGAAAAAAAAAGAGAGAGAAAAAAAAAGGAGAAGAGAAGAAGGTTTTTTTAGTACTTGAGTATTACCAAAAGACGTCTCAATTAAAATCTATGAAAATCGTCATCAGAGTTCGTCGTTCTTTTCGTTATAACCTTTTTGTTCAAAAAAGAAAACATAACTCTCCCGAAAAAAAAAAAACATATAATTTTTTTCTTCGTTCAACAGGTTTAAAATTCCGTACGAGTTAAGTGCGAATGACTCTACCTACCATTCTTATCGTTGATCATTTTGATGAAGTAGAAAATAATATTATGTTAGGATCAGTGGAATTTCGTCTGACAAAAACTCTCGTAAGATCGTTGAAATGAATGAAATCAAAGGAATGAATGTGGAATACAAATTTTCCCAAGGACACAGAATATAGTTTTCCTTGATCTTTTTTTACGTTTGGATATCCAGTGGCCGTTCATGAATACGTGTTCATTATTTATGTGCAAAAAACGCCTCTTGGCACATCAACTATGGACCCAGAAAGCTTCTCTACCTACCTACCAACCTACCAACCAACAATCTACCAGTAGGTAGGAAGGTAGGCACGAGAAGAACCAACCGGATAACGTATTACGTCTTCATATTTTTTCCCCTCCCCTTCTCTCGTGCACGGCCGATAATTAAAGGTGCCCTGGCAAGGACCTCGATGATTTATCGGTCGACTCTCTTCTCGACCGATAAGATGAGCCCTACCTGATAACCAGTCTGCTACCTTCCGCGTATATATCGTGAAACATTGCTTTAAGAGTTCGCGATTTCGTATACCTCATTTTTACGATCGCGTTTTCAAAACTTTTATCACACCCCGTTATAAGTTAATTATATCCATATATGTGTGTATGTATAATTGTATGTATGGATGTATGTATTATATATGTATCTCTATATTTTGTTTTGAATTTAATGCAAAAAAAATAAATTTCATGATATTTTGCTCGTTCAAATTACGAGATCTTTTTCTTCTTTTTCTTCTTCTTCTTCTTCTTCTTCTTCTTCTTCACGGAAGTTTCGTATCGATGAAAGAAGAGAAGAGAAGAAGGAGAGAAAGAAAGACCGGTCTGGCAAATAGTTTAATCGTCGATAATTTTTCCAAGAATGAAACTGGTCGACCGGTGCTATAATCGCTCGCCACGGAAGCAACGAACGAAGGAACGAACGAAGGAACGAACGATCGTCGCAGATATGGCTATCGATGATACTAACGCCGTTCCATCCATCGAGTCTCGTTTCGTTAAGAAAGTAACTTACAGGAAGAATCATCTCTCTTAAGCTTCGAATAATCTTGAAACCCCATAGCGGATATCTAAACGAGGGTCCCTTCTCGAGTACCAGCCACCGTATTTAATACATTCGATACGATTCTATCCTGTATCTGCATTAATGAACTAATATCCTTGAAAAGTGTTTATCTCGAGGAAATATTTTACATCGATTTTATTATATTTTTTTTAATGAATTAATTATTATTATTAATATATAGATATAATATTCTTTATTTTAATTTTTTAATAAATACGTGGTTGGGTTGAAAAGTTTCAAGCCTGAAATAGAAACAATTACAATTACCATTGTTAATTATTATTTTAATATAAATACATGTATCGATTTTGTATAAAAATTGAATGAAATGCATATAGAATTATATTTTGTATATAAGAAGAAATTATTTCAAATTGATCTTGAAGAAATAGGTGATGAATGTTGGTTTAAATTATTCGAATAGATGTAAATATAAATTTATTTAACTATTGAATTTAAAATCTATTATATAGAATCATAGTGAGAGATAATATACATCTATCGAAGTTTATATATCGAGTTCAGTCACTACATCTCGATCTTCTTTGGAGAGAAAAAGGCTACTCGTTGTAGCACCTTTGCCACGCACTCTCGTTGCTGCAACATACGGTTTACCACGCCCTCGTGAAACAATGTGATGGTTAACTTAACAAGCTCTCTCTCTCACATCCATAATACATATATATATGTAGCTTACAATGGTGCAAATACTCGAGTATATATTTTTTTTTTATTTTCTTCTTGATAGAAAAAGGACTTTCGATCCCTATCGTACTTCAGAAATCGTTCATCCCTTTTTCTAAGACTGTTGTGTGTAGCTGATTGCAAGAGATTCGTCGTTACTAGTCGTAGTTGAGAGAAGGAATGCGTCGCACGTA